AAAAAAAAAATTAATTTATGATGTATAAAAGACAATATAAAAGCTAAAACTATAATGCTTCTAGGAGAAAATATAAAAGACTATCTTCATGACCTTAGGGTAGCCAAAGATTTCTTAGATAGAATCCAGAAAACACTAAACTTAAAAAAACAATAAATTGAATTTCAACAAAACAAAAAAGTCTGCTCATCAAAGACATTTTTAAGAAAAAAATACTAGTTTTAGATTGAAAGAAAATTTTCATGGCACATATATGTGACAAAGGACATGCATCTAGAACAACCCCACTTAAAAGTGAGCAAAAGACTTGAACAGACACTTCATAAAAGAAGATATATGAGCAGCCAATAACCACATAGAAAAAAATTCAGATCAGTAGTCATCAGGGAAATGAAAATTACAACCATAATGTGATACCATTTCATATGCACCAGAATGGCTAAAGTGAGAAAAGACTGACACCACCAAGATGTTGGTGATGATAGAAACAACTGGAACCCTACGTTGTTAGTAGGAATGTAAAATGGTATAATCACTCTGGAAAACTGTTCGACAGTTTCTTATAAAGTTAAATATATACTTATCTAATGACATAGCAATTCCATTCCTAGGTATTTATGAAAGATAATGAAAACATAGATCCACAAAAAGGCCTGTAGAGGAATGTTTACAGCAGATTCATTTATAATAGTCAAAACATGCAAAACCCAATGTCCATCCCTAGGAGAATGGATAAACATATTCTGCCATATTTATGTAATCTGCTGTATTTATGTAATCATAAATAATCATCAATAAAAACAATGAGCTACTGATACACACAACTGGGTCAACCTCAAATACATATAGAGTGAAAGAGACTAGTCTCAAGAGAGGCATTGTATGATTCCATTTTAATGAAGTTCAAGAACAGGAAAATTGACCTTGGTTACAGAAATTATGTATGTAGATAGGAATTGATTGAAGGAACTTTCTGAGGTGATGGAAATGTTCTATATCTTACTGTGGTGGTGGTTATAGCAATATATATACTTATCAAAACTCATTGAATTATATACTTAAGATCTGATTATTTACTGATTATTTAGTTATAAATTTTAACTAAAAAATAAAAAACCTCAAATCTCTTGTACTACCCCAAATACCACAGGAAAAGTCAAAGGTTAATGACAAACAGGAAAAGGCACAAAGGCATTAATTTATAGGAGGTATCACAAATCATTTAGAAATAAGCAATAGAAAAGGTGACAATGGTCAAGGAGGTTTACAGAAAAATAATAAAAGTGTTTAACAAGCTCTTGGGGTGCTTGGGTGGCAGTCTTGATCTTAGGGTCATGTCCTGCATTGGGCTCCACAATGAGTGTGAAGCCTACTTTAAAAAAAAAAAGAGTTTACAAGCTCTAAATAATGCTAAAACTTTTTTTTTTAATTTATTTTTAAGCAATCTCTACACCCAATGTGAGGCTTGAACTCAACCCCAAGATAAAGAGTTGCACACTCCACCAACTGAGCCAGCCAGGTGCCCCACTAAAACTTACTTCTAATTTAAAAAATGCCATTCAAAGTCAAAAACCATTTTCCACCCATCAGATTTAAAAGTTTGGCCATACCCAGTGTTGGTGAGGCTGTGAGGAAAGAAATACTCTCATGCTCATCAATGGAGGATTAAATTGGTGCGATCTGTAGCAATTAGTACCACATTTACATTGAAATTTAATTAATTTGCTAAAATTAAATTTTAGCAAAACATCATCTGTCCAACAAACTTAATTTGCATTTTTTAAATTTTAAATTCTATAAATTTGTTTTTGCTTTACAAATGCATCCAGGGTATTAATACAAGAAGCTTATTCCTAGCTTTTTGAACATGTAAGTAACTTTAAAAATGGTACTTGCTAGTGGGGAGCCCCAAAATGCTGAGTAGAAGCTTATTCCAAAGTTTGGGTGATAGTCCCAGAACAGTAATTTTGGTACTTTTCACAGCCTTATTTTGGCACAGTGAATCAGTATTATTGAATGGAATCTTGTAGAAAAATAAGACAATGGTTTGTTGGTTCTTGGGTGGGGGGTGGGGGGAGATTACTTTCAAATGAAAATAAAGTACAAAAGCGAATGTTGAGTTAGGGAATTGAGGAAAAGGAAAAGGAAGTCTGTGAAGGATATATTTATTTGTAAAGGTGTGAGTGGGAAAATTGGTTGAAACTTTTGAGTGGTTAAATCCTCAAAATATTGAAAGCAAATATCCAATTTATTAATTCCTGTGTTTAAAGTTTTGAACTCCATTAATAAAAGTTTATTTAAATATTTATACTGCCCAGATAATTCTAAACATTTGTCTTATAATAATGCTCATGGAAAGGATTTATGCAAATAAATGTGTGACCAATTTATAACTTGAAAACATCCATGTCACATATTTTACCTGTCTACAAGTAGAGTATCACTTGTCATGATTAAAATATCCAGGCAATCTTTCAGTTCCTTGTTACGGTCACTTGTCTGTACTAGACTCATCAGCAAACATAGCTTGAGCAAATTGTAAGTCCCAGGAGGAACAATTTGTGATGCAAAGATATTGGCAAGTATCGCTGTAAATTTCCAGCATGAGCTGGAAGTCAAAGAGAGGAGATACCTAAAATTGTCGCTTATTCCTGAAGGAACTGAAAGTAAACATATATTAAAAAGGGTTTTAAAATAAGAAAATGACATTATAGATATCTAATCCCATTTATCAAAAATATTACCAAATTGTAGCTCTTCTAGCGATGCTATATTCAAATTCTTATAATATTAAATTATGATTAAAGGTCACTCTGGTCTCTCAATTTTATCTCAGGGAATGTAATAAAATGAAACAGTTACCCCATGTGTCCACATAAATTGGCTGTGGGGTACATGCAAATCCCTCATTCTTCTCCTTTTAAGACCTATGTAAACCAAGCCAGATCATGGGGCACCTGTATTGCAGTGTTTGCTTCTATATGTTTGAAATAATATCATCTTTAGTGAGGGCTAACCAGCAGAAGGGGAAATTTTTGAATGTTGTTGTTAAAAGGGAAGATTTAGGGTGCCTGGGTGGCTCAGTTGATTAAGTATCCAACTCTTGGTTTTGGCTCAGGTCATGATCTCACAGTTTGCAGAGTTTAAGCCCCGTATCAGGCTCCATGCTGGCAATGCAAAGCCTGCATGGGATATTCTCTCTCTCTCTCTCTCTCTCTCTCTCTCTCTCTCTTCTCTGCCTGCCCCTGCTCACTCCCTCTCTCAAAACAAATAAATAAAAATACACAAAGAAAAGGGAAGATTTATTCTCCACTACTTTGAAAGCACTGCACTGTACTATACTGTAACATTCTAGATCTTTTCTACTCCCTTACTCTGTCCAGCTCCTGAAATGAGCCTTTTAATCCACTTGATCATTGAGAAGAATTGCTATGCATGCATAAGCCAGTTCCTTTCTCCTAACTCTTGGGCTGCCATCATAGAGCAATGATTTCTTCTATTCATCCATGGCCATGGACCGAGGGAAGCCTACCTTAGTGTAGCTATTGCCACATTTGGGTGGTTAAATCTGCCTACTTCTGGAATGCAACATGAGAAAGCACACTTTCTCACCTACATATAAGTCCTGTTCTCCTACCAAATCAATAAATCTGGGAATACTTCACAGAAGAAAATATTTTAAATGTCACTAAAATATATATTGTCCATTAGTGCTTTCTTTGTTCAATATTTTTATTTTTCTAAGAAGCTTTTCTCTTCAAGACAAGCAGAGGTATCTAGAATCTAATTGCATTTATTTTTTATTTTTTAAATTTTTATTTATTTATTTAGATATTTATTTATTTTGACAGAGAGGGCAAGCATGCACATGAGCAGGAGAGAGGCAGAGAGAGAAGGAAAGAGAGAATCCCAAGCAGGTTCCTTGCTGTCAGTACAGAGCCTGACTTGGGGCTTGATCTCACGAACTGTGGATCATGACCTGAGCCAAAATCAAAGTTGAACAGTTAACTGACTGAGCCACCCAGGCTCCACTATTTTTTTTATCTTAAAGAGGGAAAGAGAACACAAATGAGTGAGACAGGCAGAGGGGGAGAGAGAATCCCAATCAGGCTCCGTGCTATCACCACAGAGCCCGGTGCTGGGTTAGATCCTATGACCCTGGGATCACGGCCTGAGGCAAAATCCTGAGTTGGATGCTCAACCAACTGAGCCACCAGGTGCCCCAAACAGATTTTATTTATTTATTTATTTATTTATTTACTTACTTACTTATTTTCCTTGAGAGAGAGGGGAGGGCACACACACATGCATGAGTGTGAGCAGGGGAAGGGCAGAGAGAAAAGGACAGAGAACCTTAAGCAGGTTCCATGCCCAGTGCAGAGCCTGAGGGGCCAGATCTCACAACCATGAGATCATTACCTGAGCCAAAATTGAGAGTTCATGCTTAACCGATTGAGCCATCAGGTGCCCCTAGAATCTACTTGCGTTTAACTCAACTTGGGCCTCTATTATTGCAGACGATTATCTAGTGATTCCTAAATAAATAAATAAATAAATAAATAAATAAACAAACAAACAAACAAATAAATAAATCTAAAATCTAAAATCTAAAATCTAAAATCTAAAATCTAAATCTATTCAAGATTTAACCAGTCCTTCCTGAACATTTAAATATTTATATGCCAAGTTAAAAGAGTAGGTCTGCTCTCCTCTTTTACTTAATGCTTATTTGTGTTGGCGTTGTTAAAGGAAATTACTAGTAATAAAGGTGATATTTTGGCCCCCATCTGCCTTTCTCTTTTGTCTTATTTCTTGATTGGTTCAGAACTCAGATGAGGAATAGGATGCTATTTTATTGGGTTCTTTTTCTCAGACAACAAGTTACTTAACATTGCCTTAGCTAGAAAATAAAAGGTGGGGTGAAAAACCTTTTGGTGAATCTCAAACTCCTGACATCTGGACACAATTTTCTCATTGCTAATCATGAAAAAAATCAAAATAAAGTTTAGGCAAAAAAAGGAGTCCTTCCTCTGGGCAAGGGTCTACATTATCACATTTTCTTTCTTTCATAGCCTTTATTATCTGTAATCATCTTATTGATTAGTTTATAGGTTTATTCACTATCTACCATATGATTAAGAGAAGGAAACTTGATTGTCCTGATTACAACTATATCTCTAGAGCTTAAAAGAGTGCCCAACAATACTTATTTCCTGAAAAAATACTTATTTCCTGAACACAAGGACTTAAATTTAATTATTTTTTAAATTTTTCAACGTTTATTTATTTTTGGGACAGAGAGAGACAGAGCATGAACGGGGGAGGGGCAGAGAGAGAGGGAGACACAGAATCGGAAACAGGCTCCAGGCTCTGAGCCATCAGCCCAGAGCCCGACGCGGGGCTCGAACTCACGGACCGCGAGATCGTGACCTGGCTGAAGTCGGACGCTTAACCGACTGCGCCACCCAGGCGCCCCTAAATATGATACTAATAATTTCCTTACCTTCTGGATTACAAGAAATGATACTGTTTGCCTCTATACAGACAGCAGTTTGTGAAGTTCTTACACAGGTTGGAATTCCAATAATTTTATACTCATTTCCTATATTCATTTTACTCACAGATTCATCTAAAATTATTAAACACAAAAGAAAATATGTATTCACTAAATGAAACTTGTACGTGATCAAATGGTTCAATGATCTAGAACTAGTAACAATTCAGTAGTTGAGTTAGTTGTATTTACTTTTGTTTAGTATACTATCTATATAGAGTGGCACTAATAATGTAAATTGAGGCAATTTTATTGCTAATAAATTTTGATATTTGTAGGCAATGATGAATTAACTTCAAGAAGCATGAGACATAGCAATTAGATAGTCTCCTATAATACAATGAAAGGAAAAACAAGATCATTCTATTTAAGATGAAATATCTTTGCATTAAATCACAAGAAATGTTAATAAAAATGATCTTATAAGTAATAATTTAATTTGGGAAGAAAATAATTTTAAAAGGTTTATTTCACCGTCTATGATATAGGCAAGGTATGTTACATACATCATTTAATTATAAAATGTTAGATATTATTATTCCACTTTGTATATAAAGAAACTGAGAAATTAAGTGATTTGCAGAAGGCATTTACTAAATGGTAAGTAGCAGAACTGAAATTCACATCTAGGTCTGCTTATCTCCTTGCACTATGCTAGGTTTCCCTTCTCATACCTACAGATTGTGCAATGCTTTTGCACAAATTCAAAATTTATCTTACAAACATACACTAAAAATCTTGATCCTCCATTAAACGGAAGTTGGGTGGTTATAAAGCTATGAAAAAAAGGACTTATAAGGAGGAACAAGATTAGCTTCTCTCTGTGAAGAAGATCAAACATTGATCTTCTCCATCATTTTTTTTTCTCCTCTCTCTCTTACTCTCTCTACCCTTTTGGTGGTGGTGGGGGGGGGGGGAGTTTCAGAGAGCATATTGGTGTACCCTGTAGACTGGAAGGGAAGAATCAGGCTTGAAAATTGGGAAAATAAAAACTGCAAACCAACCAACCAAACCAAACCAACCAACCAACCCAAAAAAACAAAAACAAAAACAAAACCAACTAACTGAAGGATACAGAATGAATTACAAGGGGAAAATAAAAGCAAACAATTTTTCAACTGTTCCATGGAATCATAGAGTTTGGTAGATGTATCCTGAGGTCAAGGAAAGGTCATGAGAAAAGCAAGGATATCAGGAAGTCTTGGTATTTCTTCTAATATCAACCCCAAAAGGCCTGTTGTTATTAATTTAATCTCTAAAAATTCATTTAGGTTCCATGAAAGAGTTTATCTAAAGAAAGGGTTTTCTACTAAAATATAAGTTGGATAGCCACTTATATTTATACACTGTATGGTTTGTATATGGTATTTAACAGAATTAAGTAGATAAAAGCATAGACTTTGAAGCTGGAAGGCTGGAATTTGAATCATGGCTCTGCCATGTACTAGCTATATGACTCTGGATAAGTAACATCTCTGTGCCTCAGTTTCCAAATTGTAAAATTGAGATAACAATAGAACTTACTTGATAGGGTTACAACTAAATGAGTTAAAATATGTAACAGTGCCTGGCACACAGTAACTGCTATATAAAAATGAACCATTATCATCTGGGCTTACATACCTGCTTCATCCTTGTCAGGCCATGGTGGAAAGAGTTCTTGTTTGAGTCTCTACTTGCCTAACTCTTGAGTTTCCTATACACGGTTGACATCTAAGCTCTCTCTTTCCAAACAGTTTAATTCCTCAAATTTCAACCCAAGAAAGGAGGCTGAGCCTCACCCTCATTTTCACCTGTTCTGGCTTTTCAGTGAAGAGCCATCTCTTTCCTGGGTGACTGACACTGATGATTTTCCCCATGGCAGACTCAGTCTACTCACAGGTCTCTACTCATGAAGTTCTCAACAATTAATCATATGTCACTGCTTATTCATTATTTTTAAGTTTATTTATTTATTTTTGAAAGAGAGAGAGAGGGAGGGGTAGAGAAAGAATCTGAAGCACGCTCCACAATGTCAATGCTGAGCCAAAGTGGGGCTCAAACTCACAAACTATAAGATCATGATCTGAGTCGAAGTCAGATGCTTAACTGACTGAGCCACCCAGGCACCCTCATTCATTTTTAAACAAATATTTATTAAGTTTTTACTATGTACAGTAAAAAAAAAATAACAAAAAACAAAAAACTATGTCCTTACCTTCATGCAGTTTACATTCTAAAAGAACCCCAATATTTACATAAGACACAACATAGAATAATGGGAGGTCTTTACCATAAGTAATGTGTCCCTGAGACTTAGCACAGTGTCTGGGACATAGAAGGTGCTAATATCTTTTTAAGTAAATAATGTATGAATCAATGAATAATTAATATATTAGCAAAATATAACTCTTTAAAACACTCTCAAAAAGATCTATGATTCTTAAGCTATAGAAGTACCAATTTATAAGTCATAAACAATAGTCATAAACATAAAATAGTCATAAACAAACATAAATATAATAAATATAAACAATAGTCATAAACAATAGTCTTACGTTTTTTAGCAATTTGCTTTTAGATCACACAAAACTTACTTACCCCTTAGAAAAATTGTAAGAGATTGAAACCTAAATGGCTGGTTATTGGAATATCCTTGAAAAGCATGAAGTGCCTTTGCTGTGATTATTTCAACTATCTGTTTATCTTAAGGCAAATAGCAAAAAAAAGAATTAGGTATTTGAATACACATTATATTTAATTTCCACATTAAGATATAAAACACTATTTTAAAACTTATAATTGCAAAATGTAAATGCATTTTTACCACCAAGTACTCTAAATTTTCTGTCTTCTTGAAGTGAAGATGAACACAGATTACACAAAAAGTCATTTCTTACTGTTGCAGATTCAGTAGCACCAGGCACATGCACTCTTATATACTCAAATCCTAAAAGTAAACAAAGGAAAGCTAAATTTACTTTTAGATTTAGCTATCCATTTTCAATCCTTTAAAATTAATCTAACTCAAAGTATAATTAACTCAATTTTGCACATGGGTTCCTGAGAAGTTCAATTAACATTTATTGCATGGCTCTTTCTTGGCAGGTACTGTGTTAAGGCACTGGTGATATGGATACATAAACACACAGTTTCAAAAGGCAGCCATAAGAAACAGATAATTTCAATATGTGGTTTTCATTTGGACTGTACAGAGAGAAGAGAGAATGGCATCCAACCCAATGATAAGTGGAGATGAATGGAAAAGATGTCTTGAGAAGGACTGAACTGAAGTTAAGGCAAAGGTCTGAGAGAGGACACTACATGGAGAGGAAACAGCATGAACAAACAGTCATAAAACAATGTGTGAAAACAAGTACTTCAGTAATCCAAGAGCACTGTTAAACTGTGGGAAAAAAGAGGGGAAGAGAGAATGTACTTCAAGATCATGCAAAATAAACGTACAAACATAAGACAACAAGTTTTATTCCATTCTTTCTACTCTATGAATGTTTCATAACTAATGATAAACCTGATTTAGGATTAAACAATAATTGCTTGGTATTTTGATTTTACATTTTTATATCTACCTTTCGACAGAGGGCATGCTTCATCTGAACAAAGAAATCTTGCACCTTGTGTGTACTTGGTTACAGTTGTCATTGCAATCACAATACCTTGCATCATATAAAATCTTTGAGATGAATAATCAAGTGGAAATTCACAAAGATCAAGACTATAACTTCGCAGAGGAGGTAAATGTGTTAACTTCAGCACTATATTAATCTAATAAGAATGTAAAAAATGGTATTAATAAAATTGCAGATCTAATTGCACTTGCATTACATTATAGTAAGTATATTTGTGGAGTAAATCAAATAAATGATTTGTTAGTGTTATTAGGAAACAAAATGTAAGCATAAGAAAAAAGATTTAAATATAAAATTAAAGATGCAAAACCCTTAAATCTTACTTTTTAATTGGAAATATCATTATGAACTCATTATTTTTATTTAAAACCACACATTTCCTGACTATATCCATTGAAAAGACCTGTAAAAGAATGACAACCCAATAGTAATGAACTCTTCTAGTGCCCAGATTGTGATCTCTTAAATACAATTTCTCACCAAAAGGAACCTAAGCTGCTTAAGAGAAATGGCTGACTCCAGGTCTGGGGTGGAAAATATACCAGATGGACCTGCTGTATCTCCTTGTGCCAGAAACCAAGGGAATTACAAAAAACTAAAACATGGGATCTGTCAAAAGGACATAAAAGCCAGCTTTAAGGGACTCCCAGTGACCAAAGGTAGGATAAAATAAACATCAAAAGGAATGACAAAGATTCATTGAAATATATCAGATATATTTTAAATATATTAAATACATCAGATATATTAATATATCAGATGTCAGATATATTTTAAATTCATGAATTTTTCATAATAAAAAAATAAAAAACAAAACCCAAAAAATTACTGGTCATCATTAGAGGCTCACAAAATAATGATTTCAACTCATTATTCTCTGAAAACTTATAAATGGAAAGAACCAACCATTTATTCTGCCTTTCTGGTACAAAGTATATTTCAGGGTAACCAAATAGTTGATGAGAGAAAACTTCTGTTATAGAATAATTTCAGTTAATAAGTTCAGAAAGGTTACTAAAATTAGAAAAAAATCACAACTTTGCAACTTTAATAAAATAATGGATTCTAGGCAATGGTCATCAGTGGCTGCAAAAACTATTAGGTGGAAGTTGATGCGAGACTGTATACTGAAGAGATCAGACTGACATCACCCAAACCTACTAATCAATTGTGGGATTACTAAAAGTGGACAACAGAGAGTGTATTTCTCCTAATGTAACACAATATGAAATACATGGCACTAAATATGATGTATTCTTGTCAAAATGAGTTGAATCTGAATTTAAGCAAGTTTTAAGAGCAAATTCCCTTTTTCCAGAAAAATGGGGTACGGGAGAGTAAGTTAAATGACACAAGAACATGGGGCACCTAGGTGGCTTGGTCAGTTGAGCGTTCGACTTTCGCTAAGGTCATGATCTCATGGTTTGTGAGTTTGAGCCCTGCGTTAGGCTCTGTACTGACAGCTCAGAGCCTGGAGCCTACTTCGGATTCTGTGTGTGTGCCTCTTTCTCTGCCTCTCCCTGCCTCATGCTCTGTCTCTGTCTCTGTCTCTCAAAAATAAACATTAAAAAATTTTTTTTAAATGCCACAAAACATAATCAGACAAATCCAGATTATGAGACATTGTACAGGACAATTATCTAGGTTTTTCAAAATTCCAATGGTATAAGAAGGAAGGGGGAGGAAACTGCTCTAGATTAAAAAGGATTTAATAAGATATAAAAACCAATTATAATGTGTATAATGTGTATACCTTGTTTTGATACTGATTTGAACAAATAAATTGTGAGACACTCTTGAGAGTTCAATTGGGTAAATTTAAATATAGACTGGATATTAGATGATACCAAAAAATCATTGTTATTTTGTAAAGGGTCATAGTGACATTGCGGTTATATAAGAAAAATGTCCACAATTTTTAGAGGTTGATAGTAAAGTATGTAGGTGGGACATAAGGATATCTGGGATTTGCTTTAAAATATTTTGGGGAAAAGATGATGCAGGTATGGCAATATATTACAAACTATTAGATCTGACTGACAGATAATATGGAGGTTCACAGTATTACTCTCTTTATTTTAGGGTATGTTTGAAATGTTTTATTATAAAAATATTTAATGTTATAAGTGATAATACAGGAAATAAAGATGTGTTTTTAAGATGGTCTATTGAATCTGAAAGAAATGTAGTACTTTTTAAAATAAACAAAATATTGTTTATTATTTAAAAATAATAAATAAAATATGAATAAACAAAATTGAATATAAAATATTTATTTACAAGTAACATTCAAACTATTTTACCTTGGTTTTCTTTGTTAAATTTAACAAAAACTTACTTGAGCTTCAGTCTGTAATTGTCCAATTAGTGAAAGAGTCTTAACAGCAATAAAACAGACCTGTAATTTCAAACAAACAAAGTTACCAAAAATGCCATGTGGCATAAAATTATTTCTTTCTTTAACTTACAGATTGAAAAACTTGAGCAGCTTTTAGTGGCTGGTGTAAAATGTAATTTCCAAGTTCAGCATCCAATTCAACAATATCAGAGGGATTTATTAAAATACTGAATCGATAGACTGCATAACTTTGTTTTGAATCTGTAAAAATACAAACATAAAAATGAGAATAGCTGCACATAGGAATTTTAAAGTTTCTACAATATACAGTCACCTTTGCTGAACATACCATTGTAGAACTTGCAATCATCTATAAACTTTTGGAGGCCTCCACTTCTGTCAAGATAGATAAGGGCGGCCTCTTTCATTTTTAGATTTGACATTTTCTCCTACTGAGTCTTCTCTATTACAAATTGATTAAACAACTGCTGGTAAAGAGTACCGATGGTGAAACACACAGAAAAGATGAGAATACCTAGAGATAAAATAAATCAGAATTTACACCTCACCGATCTCTAATAAAATCTTACACACTGTTAAAATTGAGAGTGAAATGAAGTAAGGTAAAATTCCCAACTTAAAATTCCTACGCAAAAGAAAACAAAGTTTTGCTCTCAATAATATTTTTTATCAACAGTAGGTTATGAGATTCTCCACAAGATTTCAAACTTAAGAACAGGAACCTCAACTGTCTCTTTACAGAGTAGGTGCTCCCAAAAAATGGTTGTTGAAATAAATATTAGATGATGATGTCCCCTTGCAGGGGGTGTTTAAAAAATGAAAGTGGTAAAAGTTGTTACAAAAATTCAACCTAAGTAAAGAGTAGTTAAACTAAAAAATCTGAAAACTTAGTCCTAGATCTAGCATTTCCTAGTTGCTATGGGGCAATCACCTGGGCTATCTTGGCTCAGTATCTTCATCTGCAGGAAATGAAAGGGTTGTACTAGATGATAAGGCCTCTTCTGGCCTTAAATCTTTTATCAGTAACCAACATAAAATATTAAACCTTGGTAATGAGAATGGAATTTGTAAAATTCATTTAAAGATAGCAATCAGCAATTGGAACAGTATATATCAATAATTGTATTAGGTACTAGGGATAAAATGATTCAGGATTGGATCATGCCATCAAGGAGTTGCCAATTTGGAGAAGTCAGATGACCATCACATCTATTCATCATATTTATTGGGCATTTAGTATTTATTAGATACTAGACTGTCATAGGCACTGGGGCTACAAAGATGAGTAAAATATGATTCCTATTGTTCAGAAAGTACAGAAAGGGATGATGGACATGTAAAAAACTTACTATAAACTTGCTATAAAAGAAATATTAATGTACTAAGGAGTACAAAAGAAACATGATGTATTAAATAGTTCCTAAAACAGCATCGTCCTTGTGTAGGGGTCATAATGTTTTCTATTGGTATAGGACATTTTGATTTAATACAGTGGGTCATAGGGAAAAAACAATGAATTCTACTTTAAAGGTGGCATTTGATAAAGATTTAATTGGAGGAGAGGTGAAGACAGGAGGACTTTTCCAAAGACAGGGGTAACCCCCTGGTACCCTAATTAATAGACCTACACTACTGAATCCATACCCCTACTACTTGGAACTCAGGCCACTTACCAAAGTAAAGTAATTGAGACTGTCCTTTTGCTATTATATAGGGGGAAAAGTTCAGAGTTTCTCAGTGGCCATAAATACAATGATCTTAAAGTATATGTTGTGTTCAGAACATTTCATCTGTGCTTCATCTGAACATAAGGTTTCTGGGGCTGAATGAAGAGAGTCCATTGATAATGAAACGGTTGAGTGAGTCTCAATCAGATTATAACTGTTTGAAGTCCGTTATGATTTCACAGGCAAAAAAAAAAAAATCCATCAAAGTTTTTAACAGGGAAAAATATGGTCAGATTTTTGTGTTGGTAATCAATGCCCTATGCTTATCGCGAATGGTGATAGGAAGAATTTATAATCAGTTTTAGCACAATAGTAGTCCTAAGAGATGTACGGCCCAATCTAGGGCATTAGGAATGAAATGAACTGGAGCAGATGTATTCTAGACTTTTAAAGATTTCATGCATAATTCCACCTGTGAAGCCAAAATGGGTATGGATGATGCTGCTCTAACGGAAATATGGGACCCCGAAAAAGAGTAGGAAAATGATAATGCAAAGTTCATTTGAGATGCTCTAATTCTGATGGCTTCTTAGGCCACCCAGATATATATAAGCACTAGGACAACGTAAATCAGGGCCTGACTCAGCAGCTTAGGGAAAAAAAAAAGCTAGAGACAAAGCTCTGGGTATCACCTGTGTAAAGCAGAAGTCCTGGGAGTGGATGCACTTTTTGGAAAGGAAAAGTAGAGACACGACATGGAAGCCAGTGAAAAAGCATTAAATAAACGAACGGGGATAAAATTCTACAAATGTTCTCATACTCCAAAGAACTCAAGGGTTAGTTCACTTAGAATAGGCAAAGGAGGTCAGGTCTTCTCCCCCTGCCGCGTCAGCAGAAAAACACCTCACAAAGCAGATAAAAGCGAATGTGGCCTCACACTCTGGGATCCACGACCTCTCTCACCCACATCAGCAGCCTCCAGTGAGAGGAACCCCTGCCCAGCAGCACATAGAACCCTCTCCTCACGCACCGAGCTGAACCAGGCGAGCGCCACCTGAGGACGAATACACAACGTGAACCTCGCGCGCATGCGCTCACCTCTCTGACGTTAGTTGCGCGAGGGCTGCTGGGACCGCCCCCGCCCAGCCCCCGCAACGCTTAACCAGGGTGATTACTGGGTCATCCTCCACCTCCTTTAATTAAATCACCATGTATCCCTCGCTGCAAGGCAAAAAAGAGGGAGAAAGATAACAAACTTTTGCTAGTTCTTGTTTTAACAACAACCAAGATTTTGAACACAACCAAGGGTGTCCATGGTTGTTTGCTTGTTTGTTTGTTTGTTTGTTTACTGAGAACTCTCCTGCTGGGAATGCAAAATGGTGTAATCAATTTGGAAAACATTCTGGGACTACCTCAAAGGTGGGATTACTATATGATCAAACAAGTCCCTGCCACGTATAATGAGGGGATTTAAAACATATGTTCACATGAAGACTAACACATAAAATGTTCATGGTATTACTCATAATAGCCCAAAAGTGGAAACAAGTGATAAATGGATAAATAAAATGTGGTATAGCCCTATAATGGAATGTTATTTGACCTTTAAAAGGAATGGTGTACTAATACATGCTGCAACAGGGATGAGCCTTGAAAACACTATGCAAAGCAAAGCAAGCCAGAAATAAAAGGCCAAGTATTGTATGATTCCGTTTGTATGAAATGTCTAGAATAGGCAAATCTGTACAGAAAGTACATTAGTGTTTGCTTAGACTTGAGGGGAAATGGAGACTGACTGCTAATGGGTATAGGATTTCTATTTATTTAAACAGGTTTTTAAATGTTTATTTATTTATTATGAGAGAGAAAGTGTATTGCCTCCTGGCATAAGCGCCCTCAAGTCGGGGAGGGGCAGAGGGAGAAAGAATTGCACGCCAACTCTGTGCTGTCAGCACACAGTGCAATCAGGGCTCGAACTCACTAACTGTGAGATCATGACCTGAGCTGAAATCAAGAGTTGGACGCTTAACTGACTGAGCCACCCAGGTGCCCCAGATTTTTTTTAATTGTGGTAAAATATACACAACATAAAATAAAATGAAACTCTGTACCCATAAAATAGTAACTCCCTTTACCCACCCCACCGCACCTACCACCTTCTATCAGATCTTGACAACCACCATTCTACCTTCTGTGTCCATGAATTTGACTACTCTAGTAGGAACCTCATATAAGTGAGGTCCTTAACTTTTTGTGACTGGCTTATTTCACTTAGCAAAATGTCTTCAAGGTTCATCTATGTTGTAGCATTTCCTAACTTTTCAAGATGGAATAATATTCCATTGTATGTATATATGGCATTTGGTTTATCCAACCATTTAAGATTTCTTTTTGAGGTGATGACAATGTTCTAAAATTGATTGTAGTGTTAGTTGCATGACTCAAAAACCTAAAAGCCAGTGAATTGTACACTTTAAATTGGTGAATTGTATGGTATTGGAACTAAATCTCAATAAAGCTGTTACCAAACAAACTTAAAACTTGTGCTGATTCCTTCCCCATTAGTATTACTATGATAGGAAACAAATATAAAATATAAAAGGATAAAATAGGCAGAAAGAGAAAGGATTAGGACCTGAGGTCTCTGGGTGGGGAAAGACATGTTTTGGAACAATGCTGGGAGTGTTTGACCACAGCAAAACCACTCCTCCTCCCCCAGGCAAGAAGGTTCATCTTAAGAATGTAACAGACACCACCTACTCCTCCTCAGGTTCCCTCAGGAATTTGACAAAAGACAGGACTAAAAATAAGTAGATCACAAAACCTATGACCCACAAGGAACAGTTTGGCCATAGACCACCCCTCATACAATGGAAACGAGCCAATCAGAAATGGACAACCCAGCACCTAGAGTTATACAGCCAATAAGGGTAGAAAGCAACAAGGAACAAGGGGGAAGGGAAGAGGAACAGGAGGGCTGACCACAACCTTATAAAACAACGACCCTTGCCTATAGTCCTTGGGCATTCATTTTTGAATGTCCCCTCTCTGTAAAGAGAGCTTTCCTACTATTCTTACTTTCTAATCTTATACTCGAATAAACTTTTGCCTGCTTCTCATTTTGTGTCCACCTCTTCATTGAATCGGCGAGACAACGAATTCTGGGTATTGAGGAATAAAATCCTGCAACATTACTTGGTACAGTTACCTGTCCTCATGTATTCCATGGTTTGAAGAGGACCTAGGTGGTGGAATAAAAGTAATTGAAGCCATTCTTTTCAATATATACTAGGGTTGACAAAACACCTCAGAGTTTGTTTTTCTGGGGGAATATAATCTTTGTTAGTGTTGAGGTGATAAAAATGCTTTGCTGGAGCCTAAATCAACTTGTAACAGCAAAAGGATGTTAAAACTTTTGTACAACAATTCTGTGGTTATGGATACTATTTTACTTTTTATTTTATTTTATTTTTTTTTAA